TAACACGGCTCCTGAGAATCACCAAGCGGGTTCTTGCAAGATGGGACCTTCCTCCGACCCGCTGGCTGTAGTGGACCATCAACTGAAGGTTAGAGGCATTGATAATTTGAGAGTGATGGATGCCTCCATCATGCCTAAGCTGACCTCAGGCAACACAAATGCTGTTTGTATCATGATTGGAGAAAAGGGCGCAGACATGATCAGGAAGAGCTGGTCCAGGCAGTAGATTCATAGGTTCAAACATTTGTGTCAATCAGTTTTAGAAAATAAAGCAATAACATACTGTCTTTAACTAATATCATAATACCCATGTTCAGACATTTGAGAAAAATATAACCCCTATGGTAGAGGGGGACTACAAATCAACCAGGGGAGGGCTGTGTTCTTAAAGTGCTTTCTAAGAAAATTTATACTTGATATGATATATAAGACATTGTAGGGGCCTATATATAATTCTCAACATTTCATAATTGTTTATCAACATTTCATAATTACCTTGAGACTTGACATAGGTCCTTTGATTAAAGGGATCTAGGTCAAATCTCAAGGTACTTTGTGATTCCAGCTCAATTATTGTTTCTCTTTCCTCAGTCGGAAAATTGCTTGGTCCGTTTGAGGTATATTATTGATTTCTCCATGAGTTATTCATTTACCCAGCAGGATTTATATGAAATTGATAGCAGAGTTCCACGCCGGTCTTTAAAACCGTCATAATCAAACAGTTAAACATTCTTGCCGTTGCCACCAAGACTGATTGTGCGAATATATGATAGGTTACATACCTTTGTCTGTCTTCAGTCTTAAATATAGTAGGTAGTCTGGGGATTACTAGTTTAGGGTCATAAGACCCATTCGCAATTCAAATTTCAAATTTGAATTATTAATTAAAACCATACAAATTATAAAATTATGTGGTGATTATAATTTTATGTAATATTTTAGAATGGGTTTTATGACTTGAAACTAGTAATCCTCAGACTACTATACTTAAGCCTGAAAACAGACAAAGGTACGCAACCTATCATATATATAATCAACTTTTTAATAAGACTTTTTCCTACATAGGTACTGTAATAAATGTTGGTTTTAATGAATTGAGTTGTGAAGATACTGTAACTGATTATGGTTAAAAAGTTCATATATCAGTAAATATTAGTGAGCTGAACAAATTGATTTTTGTAAGATGGGATTTAAGAAAGAAAAATTGAGAACTCATCTAAGGCACTCTCAAATAATATTAAAAAAATCAATATTGTGTTCGGTGGATAGTATGCGGATTAAAAATTCAGCTGTTATAGAAAGTTTAAAAGCTAAATACTAATGGTGCAGTGCACAAGTTCCAAGTAGAAAAATTGTAAATTATCATAAATAAATAAAATAAATATATTTACAGAGGTTAAAAAATCTCATTTCACATAGCTAAGTCCAAAACTATAAGCCATTGTAGCCATCCCTCACGCTTGTGAAGTGGTGGTTTACATAATGGTGTTGTTATCACATATGCATAGTGGAGTCAGTATTCTAGTCTTCCACTACATTGAAACACTTTACTTTGATTGCTGTTGTGTTCAGAATGTTAAGAGGCAGAACTGATGTAAGTGGTGATGGTGATGACATTCCCATGTCGTCAACATGCAAGTGGTTGTACACAAGTACATCAAGTAATCGTGAGTTCATCCATTGACTATACATAGAATAGACTTGCCATGTAATGTAAAGATTTGAAGCAAAAAAACCTGGTGCAATCTGTTGAGATGGTCTACTGACTGTTGATGAGTCTAATGACAATATTCTGTGTTAAGTGATAAATCAATCAGCTGTTTGCAATACTGATATTTGTTATTAATATTTAACCCATTACACTAGTCTGGTGAGATGGTCCTGAAATTCATCTACTTACTTGGCTTCAATTTTTTTATATCACATGGGAAGTCTATTCTGTGTATAGTCAATGGTTTATCCCATCAATAAAAAAGAACAAGATCCAGACGAATATCAAATCCTTTTTTTAACTTAAAGATCTCCATGAATTATTTCAAAAGTACCTTAGAATGCAACTCCTGATATACAGTTATTTATTTTAGCATAACTTTGTAGTAAGCCCATAGTAATTTCGATGCACGCACAGTTTAAGAAATCTAAATCAAAAGGTTTGCCATACATTTAGAAAAATGTGTAAAATATTTAAAATGATTAAGTAATACAGTAATATCCTTTACTAATGGACCAATGGACCGAACATTTAGCTTAAGTTTTGGTCTCCTATGCTTTCCTCTCACACTCTGTATGTAAATTCCAGCTATATTACATATTGTAACTCCAAGGACATATGTGATAACTAGGCTAAGTCTTACGCAAAACTATACTTAAGCCTTACCGAGCATTGGACATACATATAAGCAACTCAATCTGAAGGTCACAAGTGTACGACGCATACGTCAAAACATATGTATTTTAAATATGTTTCTTGGCCGTCTTTAGTGAAGTAAATCTAGTAAGATAAGTAAATATTCAGTGCTTCCCAAAGTGTTGTGTTGTGTTATGTTGTTATGTTGTGTTGTGTTGTTTATTGAAAATGATGTTTAGATTGAATGATCTGAATCAATATTTTTATTGTATTATGATTAGATAAGTCTGTTTGTTGTCTTTTGGTAATAATAATAAAGACGTCATATTTTTCTTATCATAATTTTGTTAATTCATTAATCTTTTTAAAAGTTTAGCTGCTTATTAAAAATAAACGTTTTCCCTAATAAAAATTTACAAGCCTTAGACGTATATATATATAGAGTGAGTTTTAAATGAGTTCCCCCCCTAATTTTTTCTACATTTCTTAAGATATCAACTCCGGACCACGTCAGATCATTGTAGAGTAGTAAGTACTTCATTTTGACTAGGTATAAATTTTTAGCCGCCATCTTGGATACAAAGTTTTTTTTTTCAAATGTAAAGGTAGAGTTTTGACCAATCGTTTCAAACTAGATTTTGACGCTAAATACAATGCTGCAATTCTTTTTAAAAAATCTCGATCCATTAGTTATGAGGACTTGTTATAACTTTATTTTAGCCCATTTTAACATTGTGCAATTTACAAACTAAGACCATAATCTCAAAATAGTGCTAGATAAAGATAAGTATACACCACCTATTTTCACTTGGTTATGAGGGATGTATTTTTTTCGGCCGCCATCTTGGATCCATTAGTTGAGGACCGCGAAGGCTGTCAACAAAATATGGCTACTACAAGCTTTGATTCTCTCCACAGTGTCTGGAGGAGTCTGAGGACGACCAGAGCTCTCCCCTACACACAAACATCCTGTTGTCTTGAATTTCCTCACCCAATAAGCTCTGCAGTTCTGACGAGGCGCCTCCTTTCTAAATCTAGTCAGAAAATTCCGCTGAACACTAACTATAGCATTAGCAAACTCTAAAATGCAAAATGCTCTTTCTTGTTTTGTAGTAGCCATTTGTTTACAGGCTTTGTGGTACTCAATTAAGCAACCGAGATAAAAGAAAACCTTGTCAAAACAAACTTATAAACTCGCCCTTTCCATTTTTGTGACAATCGACTGTTCAAAATCATGGAAACAGACCTACCAACGGTTTAGTTTAGCAAAATTATTTTTTTATAGTTTCAGATGGGTTAGCTTCTGGATTAACCCTAGAGCTGGCAATAGTGTAAGGCTGTACTGGCATAGGGATATTATTGATTATGTAATATCATTTTTAAACCATCGTAAAAATTAGAAATAGCAACAAAACTATGGATTGTTATATATCATTTTGTTCAGAATAAGACAAAGAACAATAATATAGGTGATTTACATGGTTACCACAAAAAAAAAATTTTTTTTTTGTAGTTTTTCCAAATTGTGGGTATTATTAATTTTTTTATAAAATGTTTTTATATTCCGTCGTATAGCTAAGTGCATGTAAGACTTAGCATCATAAGGTAAATTGTAAAGTTGTGGTAAATTTTGTGCTGATTCCAAAAATACATAGTTTATATAGCTTATTTTGTTTGATAGCCCTATTACTATGTCGATCGTACCCCCGCGCTAGTACCAAATAATCACCCAACCCAGGTCATATACAAAACCGTACACCTTATATAATATATAATTCCAGGGTACTCTGGTTTGTATTATTTGACTTATTTATTACAACAGTAGCCCAAAAAAGTTAACAAAACTAAAAAAAAAAAAAAAAAAAATTACTTATAGGCCTACCGTAACACCGGCATTGGCGCCGTATATCCGGCGTCGCCATTTCGGCCGCGGCCGTTCGCGCCGTATATCCGGCGTTTGCCAGCGCTAGGGTTAAGATAATGCAAATATAAAAGGTTTAATTTACCTGTTGCGTCAAGTATTTTATTGTACATATTTTAATGTTTCGTATGTGTTTCGTGTTATGAGTCCTAAATGTGCTGACAACTCCATCCACGGATGAGAAGGCCGTATTTTAACGTTCATAGACAACCTGAAGATGTATTCGCTTAGCAGTACAAAACTATGTGAGTCGGTGGCTCAGTTGATAGCATCACGGACTTCGGGCCCAAGGCAGTGATGTAGTGGGTTCGGATCCTGGTCACTGCCACTAAAATTTATCAGTACAGTTCACCTTTGTACTGTACCAGTTCACTCCTTGCTTTGCTGTAAACGATCCACGCATGGGCGCTTAGTCTATGTGGACGGGCAAATGCAAGGTTAAAAGAGGCCGCCAACCTCTTTTTTGAAAAAAAAGTCAACAAATGGCTACTACAAGTTTTGATTCTCTCCACAGTGTCTGGTAGAGTCTGAGGACGACCGCTCTCCCCTACAAAAAAAAGAAAAAACTGGCCGTAGTTATTTCATAACTTAAGGATTAATTGACGCAAAAGGTAAATTAAACCTTTTATATTTACTTTTTTAATAATCCTATAAGTTTCCTTATTATTTTACAAAACTTGTTGTTGAGCATTAAAAAATAGGTGTTGTCTTGAGGAACGAGACAGAACTATGTTCTTTTATAATATTTATTTACAAAAATGGCATAACTTACATAAGATCATAAATAAAAACAATATTCTTGTAGATTTCAAGAGTGTTTGAAGGTATAAAAATAATTGCAAAGCTACTATAGTAATATACAAGACGTATAAAACTGTTTTAACAGATATCTTTTTGAATAATTTACTCAAACTAAAAATCCTCCACTTACTTGGTACTTATTGGTACTTTAAATTTGAAAAAAGTTCACATTTTAGTAAAACAAAGTTTGTAAATAATATATAAATTAAAACAAATAATAACAAAGAAATAAAGATACCACTTGTCATTTTATATATATATAATGTTTAAATTAATGTACCAATAAAATTACACACTTCATGAGTGACACATTAAACAACAAAATGCATTTATAAAATAATACAAAGTCAACTGATTGAGTATAAAAATACAACCAAAAAGAAAACACAAGGAAATGTTTGTTTTCAACCAAACTGTATCAATTTAGTATGGGTATGGTAAAGAAAAAAGAAAATATATTTTTAATTCCTTACTAATAACACAAGTATAGTTTTCAAAACAATAATTATCTGTAGAACATGTTCCATTACAAATCAAATAACACTTTAAACTGACATTATGTTAATATTTGATGCTAAACCTAACATATACACAAATATATTGTGGTTACTTTTCACTTCATGATCCAACATGAAAATGTACTCAGGCCCGCTTTTAGAAACGGGCAGACTGGTGGTCGAGGGGTGCCTGGCGGGCGCCGTCCAACTACCGCCCGCCCCAGCTAGGAAAAAGGCTGCTTTTGAGTTCGCCCAGGCTCCACTGACCCTTAACGCGGCCCTGAATTTACTCATACAAAATTTATAAATAAACTTTGAGAAAATACAAACAGCAAAAGCATTGACAAAGATCAATTGTCTAGAATTCAATAACTTAATCAAACGGTTGAGCATTGTTTCTCAAATATCATAGAACACTGAATGAAAATCCAAGTTACCAAACCACTTCAAATTTAAAAACATAATTAAATGATGATATAAGTAGTTAATAACAATTTGTATCAAGGGTTAAAATGTGTCAGCTCAAGTACTCTGTTATATATTTTATCAGTCCACATTTATTACAGTTTTCAGTATCTCAATAGAAAATAAGAAATTGTCAAAATCCCATGAAGATTATTATAAAGTTCAGCAAAGATAAGTGGAAATGTCTCAAACTGATGAAACAGAAACTAACTTAGAAAACGGTAACTTTATGGGTAAAAAGAAGAATAATTATTCTGTTTAAACAGGACAGGACATTAGGAACATGACAGCTCTACACAGGTGTTTTTAAAACACAAAAAACAAAGCTTATGTTTAAAACATAGACAAGTGGGGAAGCTGAGGAACATGTTGTTTGTTTGTTAAGCTCCATAGCACCTTCAAAGCCCCCACACCTCTCAGGCATAAGGGCCAACAGCATTTCTCATCTGACGCTTTCAGTCTTTACAAGATCAGGAATACCGATGTTGTGGATTTTCAGTTGGTGCAGACCTGCAATAGCTGATTGGAAGCCACCGTTATAATCTAGAGTAACCTCATTATAGATGTAGTCTTCTCTACGATCTTTGTAAAAGTCGTTCTCATCAGGTCCACTAACCAAAGCTCCGTACAAAATCTGGGGGTTTGGCTTGGAGCTGCTGAAATCTGCCCATCCACACGGTTCAGGATAGTCAGGACATGAACTGGAAAACACAAATGGGATCTGAGATCATACAGTGTATTATCTAACAGATTATTGTAGACATTATCCTATGTTTTCACGATATTTCGGGATCTGGAATTTGACCTTGTCCTCTGGTGGGATTCTGATAGATGATGCAAACCCACCATCACAAAAAATAAACTTCAAACAAAGAATAGCCTACAGTATATGAAACCATTGAATTTTGGATAATGAAGAAGACTCCCATGTACATAGACCAGCTGTGGTCTATTAAATATTCAAATAGAGCGAATGAGCCACAAATAGAACTTATAAACTTACTTATTTACTTATGTTGTGGTCAAAACTACGGGTCGTTTGTTGAAGAGTGAATTTAAAAAAAGGTCATGCGGTAGTTACAAAATAGTAGATGTTCAACTGAATGTACAACCAGTCAAAAAAGGTTTCTCTTATGGTATCGGAACATTGCACACAATTTCTTAGAACCCACATTAACATACCTGTTAACAATATTTCTGGACACTTTTTTAACGATCAAAATAATCACGGTTTAAGAATCAAAATAATCATATTTACAGATAGGCTAGTAGAACTTATTTCCTAATTGGTTGTTAGTGTCGATGTGTAAGCTTTTAGCAAGTCATCTTGACTCGATTTAAGTCAGTGGTACATTTTCAACTTAAAATAAGGCACTGGTTCTGGTTTATATTTCCAAATTAACTTGCTTGCTTCAGGTAGAGAACCGAGTTGACTAAACAAATCCCCAATAAACCACCAAATCAACTCTTGCTGGATGGTTTGCCAACTTATATTTGTAACCAACTGTAGCAAGACTGAGTTCAATGAGCGACTCAAACCCAACTCTTCAAACCCATCATGGCTCAGGTAACTAGAGCTGAAAAAGTAGATGAGTGATGCATTACTAACTGCATTACCTTGCGGCATGGTGTGGAAACTTGGGGTAATTGTGTCCATATCCAACGACAAAACTGCGTCCGAAGCTCCCTAACATGTAGTCAATCTGTTGTTTCGCAAACTGTCGATATGTGTCGGAGTTAATACCTTGATCTGCCAGCTAGAGATCAGAGTATTTATTTTAAAATAGCAAACATAATTATTATCTTAAATTTATAGTTAGTATTTTTTTTACCCTTTTATTTCAGTGAGTACATCACAATAATTTTGTAAAAAGATTTATCTGTGACCGTAAATGATCTTTATTTCCCCATGACCGTATGTTCGTGACTTTGCCAATTGTAGTATTTAAACTAATATTTTCAAAATTTAATACTTTTCAAATCAACCATAAATTTGGCCTGAGACCTGTGGGCCAAGAGACCCGAGTCTGGTTTGGATATGAGAGTTAGCCATGGGTAGTATCCAAAACTGGTGCTAGACATTTGATTACAAAGTAAATAATGTTACTTTCTAAACAGACATTACCTGAAGGCAAAGGAATGCGACATTTGCTGCATGGCACAGCGTTCCTGTCTTCTCAATATAAACAAGACCCTTTGGTGTTCGCTTTTGGTTGAATACAGTAAAGTTGCAGAAGGTTTTGGCTGCCTCTACATATTCAGGCATCTTAGTAAGCTGGGCCAACAGTACCTACAAAAATAAAAGTTGACAATTTTACTAAAGGGGACTGTATTTCAATTGCATGTAAAATTACATAAAACATTTCTAAATATATGACATTATTTGGGAGTAAAAGTCATATTTTTTCCAAAAGGTTTTTAAAAGGACAGGGTAGAGCGTAGTTAATTGCTTCTATCAAATTCACACTCTAGTTTGAAGAGATGAAGGAAGAGTGGCCATGGTTTATACTCATCCAATGTCCCAGGACATAAAAGAACATATGATTTTCAAGAATCGCCATTCCCAGATGCTAAACTAGCTGCACAGCTATATTTGAGCACAAAGATAAAAAATACATCAGAAAATGCTTACTACTACAGTATGTCAACTGAACATCTGATGAATATTAAACTCCTGTGTTGTTACCTAAAACCAAGACCACTCTTTCTTCTCTGTGACCTACAGTGTGGATTAAAAATGTACAGTATACAACATTCCACACACTCCATATAGACTATGGTGTAATGACTAGGATGGATTGACTTTGAGGTTTTATTCAAGTGAAACATGTAGTTTATTAGTAGTCTCACTTTCCTTTTATCCATTGGCTCTTTGCTCTTGTGATGTTTTCGTAATGCTAAACCCTACTCTGATCCATTGGAGTGATTTGCGTGGGCGCAGAAGGAGGTTCAAAGGAACTTTTTGTGAAATCATATGCCCGGCTCGGTAATCAATGAAGAATTACATTGATGGTGTTTTGCGTTGTGTGCCATGTTGCCACAATTCTGTAACTAAAGCTCTTATTCAAGCCTACTTAACCATAGAATTAAGATTACCTAAAAGATGTGTTGACTTTTTAATGATGTGCAGTCCTAGATCTGTGTAAAAAGGTAAAAAATTTAACATGGAAATTGTGCTCCATTTGAGCCAATATTTCTAAATTCTGAATTAATAATGATTTAATTTTGCATTCCAAAAAATCCACTGCCTTTAATTTTCCTATAATCCTCAACATATTATTGTATTTTTATTTTTATTCGAAAAACAAACAAAAAATCTTATATTATGTAAACACATTTTTAAATATAAGTACCTATTACCTGAACTCCAGCAACTTTTTTGTTGTAGTAAAATTCATTAGGGCGCTCTTTCAGCCTGTATTGCATATAATGGTGCTCTGCTTCGTCCACATAAAATGAGTTGTTGGTTGCTTTGTATAACCAAAGAGAAGCCCATGTCAGTTCATCTCCGTAATCGGTAGATCTGCAAATATAACCCCTTTTAAATTCTGTGATACTGTACATTTAATATTTACATTATCATAAACCTGCCTGAGAGCAAACCTCACTGTCACACTCCTCCGAGAAATAATCATGAATTAATAACAATTTTTTAAACAAATTTTCAAAAGGTGATTTTTTATGATGTAGGTTTAAAAGTACGTGATTTATCCACTTTGAATTTGAAATAATTCACTAAACATTGCTATAAACAGTTTATTTATTAAACTTGAAATATTATAATTGTGATAGCAAAAAATATTATTGCAGTAGGCCTATTATGTGGGGATTCACTTGGGAATAACGAATAGAAATTCTAACGATTAGCGATATTCGTTATTTAGCTCACTTCTACCATATTCGTTAGTTTTTAAAAAGTACTGAAAATAACTTCTACTCAGTTAGATTCTTGCTAACGAATAGATATTATACTCGTTAGTAATTATTACTATATATAGATATATTATATATTATTAGATATATATAGATATATTCCTCGTTAGTTATATATATTACTTCATTATGGTGTGGGTAGCCTCCGGATTGCGAATAATAACTATGATAGTGGTTTAAATACCTTATTCATGCAATCCAGTTGTTGTCTCCACAACTAGTTTCAACCTGCTAGGAGGTCATCATCAGGTGAGTACAAGGATGAATTACTTCATATGAAGGTCGTCAGTAACAGTTTTTTTACATTTACACAAACACACGACGAATAATAAACACATAGTGCGCACACATATACGGCCGATAAAAAGTAGTCCGGGGCTAATATTAAGTTTACACTAGAAGAGGAGAAAAATAATTCCATTAATTTTCTGGACCTTACCATATCAAAACATAGTGACAGCTTAAAGTTTAAAATCTACCGAAAACCCACCTGCTCCGATCAAACAATACATTCAGATTCACACCATCCATTTTCACAGAAATTAGTCGCATACCATTGTTTTGTAAATAGATTGTTATCAATTCCAATGAGCACGGACGATTACAACGAAGAGATAAACATCATAAAACACATCGCCGTCTCCAATGGATACACGACCACGTTAATAGATAAATTAATTTTGAAACACCAAAACAAAACAGAAAGAGTGAACCAAAATAAAAAGTTCTTATCAGCTGACTATAATTCATGTCTTAGTAATAAATTCAAAACATTAATGGGGAAAAATAACATAACAGTATCCTTTAGAACAAAAAACAATCTGGGACCACTTCTGAAAGAAAGACCAAGTACAGATAGTGTCACGGTGCGTGGCGCCTCGATGGAGCATGCGCACTGAGAGCTTTCCCCAACTACGCCTCCATATACGGTACAGTCACGTTCAAATACTAAAGTTGTGAACTAGCATCAGCTGTCAAATTAGTTTGCTTTATGTTTACGTTTTTTGTATTTTTCTGTCTCTCTCGCACTGCCTCCCCTACACGCCAAGCACGGTGAAACGGTCTGTACAACTAAACTTAAATATGAAAAAAGTGGTGTTTACAAAATCAACTGTTCAGATTGTAATAAATATTACATAGGCCAAACTTCCCGCTCTTTCTCCAAACGCTTTAAGGAGCACATACCTCAAAACAAACTTCAACCTTTGCCGAACATTTAGTTTCTCATCAGCATAATTACAGCAGCATTAATGAAAACATGGAAATTTTACATACGTCACAGGACAAGTTTAAAATTAACACCCTGGAAGAATTCGAGATTTATAGAGCCGTCAAATCCAACGTTTTAACGTTGGATAACGTTGGATAACGTTTTAAACGACCAACTTTATTTTAATTCAAACATCATATACAACACTGCAATAGAAATACTGGAGAGGGAAGGGGAGGGCAGAGACAATGGGAATGGAACCGACGAGCGATAAGAAAATGCGCGTGATGCTTGACCAGCTGTTTACCCTACAGTCTAGACGCAACTTCCGCATTCTCAACACGGGTCCGCTTGTCAAGTTCAATGTTTTTATCGGCCGTATATGTGTGCGCACTATGTGTTTATTATTCGTCGTGTGTTTGTGTAAATGTAAAAAAACTGTTACTGACGACCTTCATATGAAGTAATTCATCCTTGTACTCACCTGATGATGACCTCCTAGCAGGTTGAAACTAGTTGTGGAGACAACAACTGGATTGCATGAATAAGGTATTTAAACCACTATCATAGTTATATATATTAGTTAGTTAGATATATTCCTAACCAACAACAAATGAAAATGGAATGAGGCTTATCAGCTTTGCAAGCTCGAAAAACCTTGAAATCATGTCAACTACTTTCCCTAGGAAAAACATTCACAAGGTCACATGGGTTTCCCCAAACGGACAAGTGAAAAACCAAATTGACCATGTGTTGACCAAGGACAGACATAAAAGCTGCATTATGGATATCAAAAGTAAGCCTTCTTTCACACCAGCGTGGTGCGGGACCGTCCCGCACCGGACGAAGCTGTTTAGACTATTGAATCATATGGGAGCTTTCACACCAGTGCGGGTTGACCCGGACGGTCCTAAACCTCTGTCCGGGTTGAAAAATCACCCGCACGAACCTAAACTTCCAATGCGGGTCGAAACCGTATGAATACTTTTTAGATCATGGGCTCTTATGTACGCTTTTACACTTGCGCGGGACGGGCTGGTTTCGCCCGCACGTAAATCACTAGTTTTGACAGTCTATGCCTATCAGTGGTTGAGTGTGGTTGATTTTGTAATACTCTTGTTAACTTAATAGGGAAGTTTGTTGTTTTTGGTATGGAGGTTGAAATTTATATACAGCTGATTATTTTGGTCAAGCTTTATATTTTGGTTTAGTTTGAAGGCCAGTGTGTAGGACGAGACCCCCATTGCAGCAAACCATATTTCATTTGCATATTTAAATTTTTACAAACGATTTTATTAAACATGCCTGATTTATTAAATATAAAAACATTTGGTTTAACGAGCACTTACATGTTCTTCTAAATATATGGAAGGAAATTAAGTGTTGTTTAAGCTAAAACTGCCAACAAATATGTGCATAAAATCCATATATATATATCAAAATTTGAACTACAGAATTACTTTATCTCCTACAGTGGACTGGAATTTAAAAAATGGTCCCAGATGTTATAGTAGTAGAAAGTGAATCATTACATATTTGAGACCACGTTTGAAGTGCGAGATTTATGCACTTTAAATGGTCGCGAACAAGTATAGACCCACTTTCACTCGTGTTTTGAACGTTACTTTTTGGCACACTACAAAGAATAATTATTTTCTTCATTTGAAAACTAATAGAATTTTATTGGTTATGCCTTCGAGTTAATGTTTACTTTAGTTGTTGAAAATTGCAACAGTCGATAAACCAATGACAAATATTCGTTTGTTTACGTCAGCTAAATCCAAAACAGATAGGAAACATTACTTTCGCATAGTAAACATTCTTTAGCCGTAATAACCAATGCAATGACAGATTTTCGCAGATGAACATACAACAAAAAAATGTCATTTCACAGTAGTGTAGCGACCTATGAAATATGCTTCTTCTCTATAGGGAATAATTTGGGTGAGAGGTGTATAATTAGATTTGAAATCAGTTATGCTGTTGACATTCTATAGAAGTTTAAGATCCGTTACCCCACAGCTGTCACCATAACTTTTAAAAATACAATGAATTGACATTTTTACACACACGGCATCGATCCAATTAGGTTATTTAGCAAGGGGGTACTGTATTTTATTTTCGGATACAACAAGTAGCATAAACACCTTACTTTTATTTATTTAAATGAAATACATAAAAAAATCACAAAGTTTCAGCCTGGAAACGCCCGGATCCGGGCAGCTAGTGTGAAAGGGCCTTGCGGGTCGTCCCGCATCGACGGTGCGGGACGGTGCCAAACCGCGCTGGTGTGAAAGAAGCCTAAGAGGGGAGCTGAATGTGGGACAACCATTACTTGGTGATAATAAAAGTACAACAAAGACTATGCCGAGAGAGAAGAGAAAAACATGATTTAAAGCCTAGATCAAAACAAAATTAAAGTTCGATTTAAGAAAACTTGAAAACTCGAATGTCAGAAAGGAGTTTACTCTCAAACTCACAAACCGGTTTCAAGTATTAGATCAAGGAAAAAAGAAAATAGACCACTCTATAGAGGATAAATGAAAAATAATTCAAGAATCAGTTCAGGAAGTAGCTGAAGAAGTAGTTGGCTTCCAAAAGAATAGAAAAAGCAAAAAAAACTTGGTTCAATGAAGAATTTAGACAGATGATCGAGGAGAGAGAGAAAGCTAAATAAGAACTACTCATACAGGATACTCAAGAAAAAAAGGGAATATACTTAAGAATAAAGAAGACCACAAACAAAACATTGAAGTCGGCTAGAAGAAACTATGTAAAAGATCAGTTAAAAAAGGCCGAAGAGGATTGCAATATTAACAATTCCAGGGAATTCTTCCGATCCATAAGATATTTTATCAAGGCTTTAAAGCAAAATCCTATGGAGTTAAGACAAATGGCAGAATAATCTGTAACCAAGAAGAGGTCCTTAATATATGGAAGGAATATTCAGTTCGTGAAACTCAGCGAAAATTCAGCGAACTCATTAGAAGAAGAAGAAGAATATATGTATATTCGCATCCTCAAGTAAGGATTCAAGACCCAAATGAGGAAGAAGTTCTAAATGCATTAAATGCTCTAAAAAAAAGCCCCAGGAGCAGATGGCATACCAGCTGAATATCTTAAAGCAGGAGGAAAAGCTCTATTATGTTATTTTCCAATAAAAAACCATAAAATTACAAAAAAATCAGATTTAAAAAACCGGTTTTGATGAAAATTAATATGTTATGGTCCTTATAATAAAAAAAAGTACAACACCGCATTGCTGTAACAATTAGGGTTCAAAAGTTATTGCAACTTTTGTGATTTTTGACTATAAAATATCATATTTACTCTTATCGCCTACCCATGATGACGAGCTTATGGGAGAAAGTACTGTATGTGTCAGAATGCTGATACCGTTTATTTGACTAACTAACTAATAACTTCTATCAGTTACTTTTTCCAGTACTAACTAATAACTTCTAACTACAGTTAGAATTTTTGACTAACTTTCCCAACTATGGGGAAGCGCTACTATGAACTATGAAGGAGTATTACCATATGAAATGTGAAAAACAATCCTGGGATCGTGCTTAGCGTTCTAGGTAAAAAATTATTATGTCGAGTAATGATTACTTCCTTATCTTGTCCACTTCCACTCCTTAAGGTTGCAAACCTGTTTCCTGATTCACCTCAAATTCATTTAAAATGTATAGCAGTGAAGTTGAGAGTTGCATCACAATTTATCTAATATTTTTAGGATTTACTTACTCATAAAACTCTGTCGCCCCCTTGATGGCATCATTGTAAAGGCCACGGTAGGTTGTAGCAAAGTCGTAAAGTTGCTTAGAATGGTTCAAAAGCAGCTCTGCGTACTTGGGATCCTCCTTTTGAAATACTATCGCAGTTGCTGTCAGGGCTGCGGAAGTTTCTCCAGCCAGATCACTGCCTAAAACACAAGACTTGTAAAAGTACCCACGAGTTATGAATATTTTTATAATAAATAATCCTCAAATAATCTTTGAAAATATATAGTCTCCAGTTCTATGATTTTCTAAGTTCGAACAAGTAGGATACATTCTAACCTACAAAACTGATTAACTAAAAAAATTAATATTATTCTTTCAAAAAAAGTTTTGCTTAAAGCTACACTTTCTTTTAAAACAAGTCCCAGGTTTGGCATGTTATGTGGCTAGAACTAATTCCATATCCTTCAGGGGTTTAAGTACATGGAGTACTGAATGTAGTAAACCTCTGTCTACCCGCAGGAGTATCCAATGTTGCTATGGAGCACATGAGGCAGAGCTTTATGGATATGAACATCTTCATATACACAAACTGCCTGGCTGCATTGAAGGCACCACTTTTAAAAACTTGGGCTTTTAACTTTATTAATTTTAAAACATCCATAAAGAGAAGGTTTAAAATAAGTTATAAGATGACTAACCAGGTTTGTCTTTAGTGATCTTGAAGGCGGGGCGAGAAGTATTCAGTTGTTCTGGTCGTCCCCAGTACTGATGGTCCAGAGCAAAGTCACCCACCTGACCATACAACTCATACGGACTGACGTGGCACTTGATGAAGTAGTCGGCAGCCCAGCGTAAAGCCTCTAGGGCATGCTCCCATTCACCTGCAATGTTACATAAAGTAATAGTGCCAATACAAGCTAAACAAAATCTTTCATACGAATGTTGATGATTACTTTAAATTGGTTCAACTAGAGCAGTATTCCTCGGATTGCAGGTCCCGGTACTACTGAGTTGCAGGAAAATATTGGAATATTTGGGATTGGCCCCAACTTTGACCTGAAACAGGTAGTTTTTCACAAGTCAGCGGCCAGGCCGGTACCAGAACACCTCTCAGTGAATAGAGCACTATATTTTGTACAATTTAATAATTTGTAGCATGTTTCCAAAGGGTGTTATTGTTTTTGCTATTATTCAAACTTTCCGCTTATCTGACTTTGCCAAGCTGGTTAAGGTTGAACAATTGACACTTGGAACTCTCAGCTACACAGCAATTTAGCATACCTAAATACAGTATTTGTATAGTTATTTACACTGCAAAACAAGGTTTTATTCATAAAGTTCATTCTATGACTTTTTAGAAAAGTTTTTAATTTTTTTAATATTTTATTTTGTCTATTCAAACTTTTTCCTAGCTTTATTGGTTCTATGTACTGTAATGCAGTATGATAATAAATGTGGAACCATTGACTATTTTTTGTGTTTTTCATCTTAATCTTATATAGCCCATGAGCATTGGATGTAAATTCTAAAACTTTCACTTTTTGGGCGATATATTTCAAAAACACTTAAGATTTGGTGAAAACTTAAAAAAACAATTCAAGAGTTAGAGATCTTACTGTTAACTGTTTACTGCTTACAACCATAACTATACCTGCTTCCACGTAGGCATCTTTGTATGATAGACAGCCCCAGGCTAGCAAAGTGGTTGTGCTGGCCATTGTGAACCCGAACTTGACAAAGTCCCCGGCTAAAACAAACACAAACATCGTTGTAATGCTAACTTCTATATGTGGATGTCAATGGCCAGAATTTACATGCAAGCTGTTATACTGTATTCACAATAAAAATAATAGCCCGGCAGCCAAATGAGGATTTTGTCCCTAACCGGTATTTATTTGTTATATTAAGTCATTTTTATTGTTGATTTGAGGTATTTAGGGTATGAAGACCATAAAACCACTGGGTACTTTTTTGGTACCCTTGGGCAACAGACGCCATCTTAAAAAATGGCGGAAAACGTAATTTACAGTGTAAGCTTTTACTTAAAACTATCTTATCTGAAAATACTATGCTATCTACATCAGTGCAAACGCTTCTAAAATACTCACAGTGAAATTCCATGCAGGAAAATATCATATTTTAAATATATATTGTGTGTTTTAAGGCCAGTATTTCTTTTTAAAGTTAATAATTTAGAAAAAAAGTATGTTCTACCCCCATTTTTTCCAACTTAGTGCTAAAATCTCTGAAAAAAGGACATAATACATGTTACAAAAGCTGTATATATTGAAATTTTGCATCCAATGCACCTATAGGGATATTTGTTGGATCAAGGATAACGTCACAACAAAGCGTACAAAAATTACTTTTATTATTTTTTCTATAATAAAGAGGGATATCTAATAAATGAAAATACTTTATATAATTCTTCCTGAGAATATTCTGTAGTTCCTTTCTACTGTTTTTGGTATCAAAATGCTCGATAAGCCCACGGCTTTCATTTACGCCAATTATAATTCAAATCTTAGGATGTTTAAGCTAGTTATGGACCCCCCAAAAATAGTAATTTTAATTATTTAAAAAAATAAGTCCCATCAAAGCCCTATATCTTTTAGTGATTATTATGTTATGTTTTATGTATTGATATGAAAACAGTCGGTAACGTACTGGCTTTCATGGAACATATTGATTATTGGATTTCAAAGAGTTTGAGGTATAGATCATCAATCGATAAAAAAACATTTTTTTGTAATTTGATAATTTTTAAATTTGGAATTTTGAATTTATTTGGATATTACGAAATTATGTTTGCTATGAAAAAGGAGGAAATCTTATTTATATACCTGGTATCTCATCTCAGGTGATCTAATAGCTTACTTTATCGCTATAAATCTGACAACAAACTTGTAATGGGGGACTCTAAAGGGGGTATTGAATCAAAATAATATTGAAACCACGATTTAGTATGAGACACAACTTTAATGTTTCTTGTAGAACACCCTGTTTTTATTATGTTTTTGATTCTACTGGTTATTAAAAATAAATTATATATTTAATATTTTTTAAACTGATAAGGAGACATGAACGTCTTAAACATGAATTTTCCTAAATAACTTTAAGAATAAATGGGAAGAATAATTACAGTTGTTCATTTTTGTCCAAACAAAGGAAATACATTTTGTATGATTTGAATTTGGCATTCAATAATTTTTACCGCCTAAATTAGTCCGGCAGCCAAATTTGTTTGTTCTATTCGGTTTTTTTATGGTTAATATTTAATTTTGGTAGCTAGTATTCGGATGAATAAAATAGCGGGTACTTACAAATTACCTTTTGCCAACTCTTAGAATTTAAGATAATAATATTGTCCATATAATATAATAATTTGATTAATTTTAACATGGTAATTAAGCTATAAACTATGCGTTTTTTGTCTGAATATCATGAAATTTGGTATGAAACCTCATTATAATATTACTTATAAATTTACCAGTTATTAGCCATATCCGTCAAGCCGTTTCAAAATGGCGGCAGAAAACATGGTTATATCTCTAAAAAATAATTTTTTACCCAATTTAAAAAACAACTTGGTATGCGACCTTGTTCTAGTGTTACCTCTAAGTAAACTAAAAACAAGTTTGGCCAATTTCTGAGCTTCTTTTACAGGTTCAGTCCCAGCTGTAAAATGCAAGATTCATGATATACAGACACAGTTAATTTCAGACATAAATAGCCATAATAGGATTGTGAAATGTGTTTATATAAATTTTATTCATAAAACTATCAGACAGTATTTGAATACATTACATGTCTGTGAATCGCGAAACAAAATTATTTAAAGCAAGAAATTACCAATATATTAAAAACCGATTTATAAGGATTTTCTCTGGATACTGTATTTATGTAGGTACTCGTCTTATACGTTTATGTAACCCTACATTGATGAAATCAGACCCGAAACCCCGAAACGTTGGTTAATCACCTAACCTTTAAAATGAAATCAAAGGTTAATTGAGCAGTTACTGTAAACACCAATAACACCATGACTCTTGGACGAAATTAAGTGAGTTCTTATCATTCTATCCTCTTAGTCCATCTGATCGATGAAATATGATAAGGACTTTCCCCGATTACCTTTGCGAATAATCACCAGGTTTATCTTTGTCCAACTCATTACCGACTTTAAACAATCATTTTGTTTGTTAAGTATAACAAGTGTTTATGATTGTTTGTTTACAATTTATTTATCAACTTGTACAAAAAGCGACTTTTTGTATTTCGTAACAGAATGATTCGCGTACTAATTGTTGCAGAATCGATCGTGTAAAGTTTTAATAGGCCTACTATAGTTGTCCATCACCAAACTGGTTCTTATGCGGTTCCAAGTTAGGAAAAAACAACAGCTGACCGCATTCCATTTCAACTTAATCTCAAGTACAAGACAGCGCTCAATAATGCACAGACAGGTTTACCAACTTCTCTTTCGTTATGATGTAGAATCAACGAACTGTTATCGACAATTGATTAAACGTTTTTTTAATACTTGACAGCATTTAATAGTTTGGGAGTACAGATTTGTTATATTACATGCTTAAACACAAAAACTTCCCATACTGTATTGGCTTTTTAAGAGTCTATATGCGACTCTGATACAATAATTATTTCTCTGGTATACATCTGTTTCCTCCTTTTTACAATGTAGTTTCTTACAATCACAAAAATGATGGTGAGAGAACACTTAAAAAATATATACTATCATTTTCCTTGCAAGATTTTTTCTTACTTTCTCCCCCATACCGTATATGGAGAAAGTATGTTAGCATAGTGCAACCCCCATTGCTGTAAAAATTACGGTTCTAAAGTTAATGTAACTTATGTTATTCCCCCCCCCCCCCAAAAAAAAAAAACCGGAACATTTTATTTTTCGAAAAAAACCTGTTTTGATTGAATTTTGATTTTTTTGTCCTTATAATTCTAAACTAAATATTGCATTCCTGTAAAAGTTACTGTTCCAAAGTTAATGCAAGTTTTGTGATTCTTACCTTCTTCTTATTCTTATAAAGGTTGTTGACAAGCTAATGGGAGAAATTATGTGTCAGATTGCTGATACCGTTTATTAATGTTTGGGATTGGAAAATTTATTGAACATAATATACATTATTGTTCATTCAAACCTGTACCTTTGGATGTAGAAATAATAAGATGTACTTTGACATTTTGTAACTCTCAACTGTTTAAAAACTAATATAACTGAAATTTAGCCCCTTGCCTATAAAAAAAAAACATTCTTATGCTGTTGATTTCCTTAAAATTGTTCAATTAAAATAAAAGAATAGACAACAAACAATTTCATAAAGTCTTAGTCTTTGTAAAAAACGTATATGTAGTCTGTCACCTGGTTAAAATTTGTGTGTTTCAATATGTCTATACAGTCTAAAATTAAATAGTTTACAAATGTTAAGCTATTGATTAGTTATTGGCCCTGACTAAAATCATCCTACTTACGAACAAAACCATGAAAAACCCCATATCAACTAGACAGATATCCTCCAACCACCCAACCCAATATTTTTATGTTGTTAGATTGATCTGTGTAGCTTTGTTACTGACCATGACAAACGGTTTCTTATCCAGGAACATTTACGCCCAATGATCAAAAGAGCTGGGTCTACCACGCTCAGCTCAGAAAATTTGTGGTGGATTATCGGTGTGGTAAATTGACAAAATTCCTTTCAACGATGGTAGGCCTACATTTTAAGGCTCATCAACTCAAACGCTATTAACTAACTTACCATCGTAGTAGCCCCCGGTCAAGTCTTCGCCATCTTGGCCCATGTCGTTGACGGCGGAGTCGGATCGCCAGGGGATTCGGTTGGACGGCGGAAGACGCCCTGACCGCTGGGCCTCGTAGAACATCAAGGACATCCTCAGAACCTGGCTGTAGTCGTGGTCCTTGGTTTCCTTGGGGGCAGTCGTCACCAGGACAGTGCAGAACGCTGCGAACGTCAGCGCACTGCATAGCGCATTCATCTGGAAACACCACCCAGAACTTAACAGCAAACTTCCACAGTACAATGAGTTATATTATACGTTCTGGAAGAACACCCTACTCGAGTACTGTGTATACAACATGTGATATGATATTAAGTAGCAAACAAGTAAAATCAACGAGCAAATGCCACATATAACTGGAAACCCCCCACTGAAGATAAAATATGGCCATATGATTTATCTATGATATGGCTCGTTGAGATTAGAACCCGCTTAAAACCTCCACTTCACACAATATATGTTAATGTGTCCTGGAATATCAGCCCATTCCAGTACTAACATTAAAAATTCAATCGGATACTACCCATGTAGCCTACGGAGAGTCAATTATTTGTGGGTGCGTTTATCTAAAACCTCCTTTTAAATATTGAAAAGGAGGTCGATTTGAGATTATAAATGCAGCCTACACCTACAGTGATATTAAAGTAAATTAATTATGGATTTTACCAAGAGCTATTAATTAAGGTTATCAAGTTCTGAATCCAAAGGTGTTGTAGGGCCTACACACGAAGTATGCATCTTTTAATCAATTAAACGACAAAAAAAAGAATTGGCTACAAGCACTATTAGTTAATCTCGAAAACGCCCGACTCATTGGATTTGCAGTATTAGTTTGTAAGGTAAATGCTTACACGAATCAGCACTCAGCAGTTTTAAGTGGAATTATAGAACAACAAATTAGTGTCTCTGTCATTTAACCATTAAACTGTGGTTAAATGATGAAAAAATAATCTTGTACTTCCAAAAGTTTTTAATCACTGATATCATTCTCAAGATTAAGCTTCAATACCAGGAAATAATTTTTATAACTGATCATAGGCAACTGCAATTTAAAAAAATTAATGATCAGTGCATAATTCATCAATTTATAGAGTGGAGTAAAATTTTCAGGTTATACTATATTGTAGTAAGTTTTTCTTAAGGTTAGTAATATTACATATAACGGCCATGCTACCGTTACAGGGACCCATCAAGATACTGGTAAGGATTATGATTAAAAAATACGTAAATTAATTTGAATAACAAATGCATGAATATAACCACAATTGGTTGTCTTTCTTGTGGAGAAGTTTTTCTTCGTACGTAAGAAAATGAGTGACTTATAAAATTAAACTATAAAATTGAATGACATTTTCCCTGGATCTGTTCGAAGCACCGATGTGTGTGTATACGTATACATCGATGGTTCGAAGTTAGTACACTGGCTATGCGTTTCATATGAAAATTACTGCGTCAAAAATTTTGAAAAATCACATTTCATTGCTACGTTTTCCGAAAAATAGCTTATTCCCAGGACCGAACAAAGAATTCTTCAAGAGTGAAAGTGTCACCTTCATAATGTCGATTCATTATTTTGGTATCTTGACCTTATGAGATTTTAGTTAAAATATTTAGTCCGTAATTTTTATTGTGTCCCATACCTTAGGCAATGTCCGAGTTGCTAACCACTACACTAGACTAACAGAGCCCTTAAATTATATTATATGACAGCATATTTTTGCCAACGAACTTTCATGCAAGGCCGATTCTCTAATAATTAGTAATGCACTTGAGATAATAGTGGAAAATACAAAGCAAAATGGCTAGACAAGATTTTTAAGTAGTGTTTTTTACTCTTTTGTCGTGTCTATACACGAATAGCATTTTGAAAGAAGTTAAAAATATACTTTATGGTTAAGTGGCCCAGATCCATTAAATGTTTAAGAATACGCCGGGAATCGAACCTGAACCTTTCGCACTAAAGCCCGAGACAATAACGGAGAATATATATATATATACTGTATATATACTGTATATATACTGTATATATCTCAAAATGATTGGCAATTTTCTCTGTGTCCCTATGACGCACAGCCTAGGAGTAAAAAAATAAAAATAGCAATGCAAGCGCTCGTAAAACAAATCATACCGAACAGTAGCGCCGTCAAAGATTTTATGGTTGTTCGAACTGGGATTGGGCCTTACACACACTCTCACACTTGACAAAAGAGTCCTTGATCGTGCTTACACACACACACACACACGCTAGGCTGTTGATGAGTCATAGTTGGCTTAGGCCGTGTTCCGCTAGTAGTTGCCACTTTCAAAATGATCGACTTAATTATCTAAATATGATTTTAACATTCAGCACGTTTTCTTAACATCTATGTCGAATCTTTGTGGTATTAGACCAAAGCAGCAAGGTTATTATTTAGGACAATCTGACAAGATTTTATGATCTATTGGAACTCCTCTAAATCATTGCTAGCCTGGTTAAGTTAAAGTGCACGTAGTGGATTGAGTCAGAAGTTGACAGCTGGCTTTCTGCGTATAGGTTTCTATAAACTTTTGTTGGTTCCTGCAACACAATCTAGGGCATTTAACGTTCAAGTCTTTGGTTTTAAAGATAACCGCTAGTATATCTATCTAGTTGGTTGTAAATCTCTGTAGCTTTTAAAAGTGGCACTAATTAGGTTTAACAAAGCTCAAATTACGCATTTCACCACTTGACGACTCAAAGTGTAGCCAGATAGTAGTTTACGTGTACGTAGGCCTACAGTACAGTTCCTCTCATATAATGACATTACCGACGGATTTTTACGCGAGTGAGTTCCCCAGGACGTAACGGTATCCTTGCCTACAGTCGTCATATAGCAAGAGCAAATTGGTGGTTGATTTGACTTGAACTCGGGACACCAAGGCAGAAGTTCTACGCTCCTATATTTGACCACTACTAGGGACGTACTCTATTGTCTTCTATTTGACATAAAGTATACGCGTATAAGTAGCCTGTATTATGTATATCAAGAGTGACGTGTCGTTTAAACACGAAATTTAATGAAAATCATGGAGAATTTGTCAACATCTGTTGCACATACATAGCAGTACATAGCAGTACATAGCACATAGCGCATACATAGCTTACTTTCCAACTCTAAAATAGTATTTAGAGATGGAAATGTAAGTCATAAATACTTCATTACCCTCGCGTACAATGATACGCCATTTTCCATAACCACCATTTACCATTTAAAATAAGCAGTATTGACTGGTTATTTTAAATGGTAGTTCTACTTGGTTGAGTAATATAAACAGAGCTTCGAATTACGTTGTGAAAACCTGGATCTTGAAATACAATTATTTGATTTGGGATTGAAAAATAGTAATTTTTCAGGATCATGTTGAATAGTAAAATGACGTTTAAGTTACTGACGTATTTTAATATTTGAGTCGGAATTTAAATAGCAAGAAGAAAGATATCAAAAAGAAATCACAATGGCTATTGTAATAGTGACATGTGATAAAAATTTATTTTACATCGCCTTATATTATACATGTCCTCGTAAAGTCCCAATCTTACCGGGGGGTCAGATTGGGACTTTGGCTAGGATATTTAATATTTAATAGGTACTTTGGCTAGGGAAACACACATGGGGATGTGTGTTTCCCTAGCCAAAGTACCTATACAAAAACCAGGCACACGAAAAGCAAAAAAAAAGGTTAAAAGGAAAGATAGGTAGAAAGAGGTCCACGAAGCTGAGAAAATAAACTATGACGAAACATTTCTTGGAAGGAAGAGAAAAGAGGTGAACTCATCCGCTCGACGAACGATGAAATATGCGCCAATATAATGCAAATAGAACACCAACACTTTGCACGTGCACTGAATGTCAACAGTAGGCCTATATGGTTGCTGTGGTGTAGTCAAGGTAGGAAGTGTAGACTCCAGAAACACTTTCCACGATAGATATGCTGCTAACGGAATACACAATACACTTTCATTTGCCCAGAGGCTAAGGCGGCGACGAATACCAAGGGCACTACGCCACTCCCAAGCGGAGAGCCAAAACTCGCTTTCTGTTTATGAAAGCGAGATTGGCGTTTGACATTTCAAACATCAACCCCAAACGACGTAAATAAAAGTTAATATAAAACATCAACGGCGTATCAGCATGGCAATCAAAATATTGCTGTTTTGATCCTGAGAAAATCAGTAGCTGATTGATGATTCTAAACTGGACCCAGCTGTGCTTTATCTTTGGGCTTTAAATAATTGGTCATTGCTGAGAAATAACTACTTGGTTGGTAAAAAACTACACATTATGCTTTCTCTATTCTACGCTCACCCTTCACTCATTTCCTAAAGTGTGGGTCAATGTCTTCAGGAGTTTAATTAAATATCAAAAGTATGAAGAAATAAAAGGAGAGAATACCACCTGAATCGCTTGCAACGTGAATATTACTTGACCTGGAACAGTTAATTTCAACGCAACCTAACCTAACAACTATTTAGTAATTAACTGGTCAGTAAGACGGATGAGACTAGTCCTAGTAATGGAAGTTATTAATGTTCAAAATCTTTAAATATATTTGTATTGTTATACACTTGATTATGTAGCTTTATGAATAAGAAAATATATAATATTTTTTACTAGTACTGAAGTAGGTTATGAAAAGTAAAACAACAGTTAAAACTTAGTCAACGTTTACGATTTCACACAGGGCTACGTGGCGTTTATGTATTTTTAATCATAATTGGTTATGAGTAAATGCACATTTCTTAGAGCGATGGACCATCGTGGAAGTACGAGTTCAAATCCAATCAATTACAAATGTGTTAGTTGTGTTTAAGGACCTCCCACCACTAAAATAATACGATCATTTTTTGCATGTATTATTTTGTGGAAAAGAAAATCTTTAGTGGATTCAACGATCAATCTTTTCGGGTTCGCCTCTTTTACTTTTGAGATAACTAGGTGCGTATTATAATCTGAATATAAATTATGAGTTTAGAATGGGGTGAGATGATGATAAGAAAATATATAATATTTTTTACTAGTACTGAAGTAGGTTATGAAAAGTAAAACAACAGTTAAAACTTAGTCAACGTTTACGATTTCACACAGGGCTACGTGGCGTTTATGTATTTTTAATCATAATTGGTTATGAGTAAATGCACATTTCTTAGAGCGATGGACCATCGTGGAAGTACGAGTTCA